AAGGAATTGAAGGAAAAGGGGGAAAAACGAATTGAGAAAATATTTGAAAAGTTAGAATTTAAATTCTCTTTGGCCTATTTTGCTAACCGTGGGGGCTGTTGATTCAATGGAATGGTATTCCCCAGAGGTCTGTATTTCTTGACCCTGCGCCTCTCAATTCGCTTCTTTTTCTCTTTTTTTTTTGTATTTGGCCGTTAGAGTTGCTGCAGGGTTTTAACCCACCTTTCATTTATTGGCCATGTGGACTCTGTTCATTCTTTCTTGTAATTCGTCTCAGATTTTTATCTTTAATAGAGGATTTAACTCACAGTTGTACATGGATGCGGTGGAAAAACACATTTCAAGAATAATTAAACTTAAAATTGTATCGCTGTATAATAAAATCACATCATTATCACGCGCAGAGTTAAATCTTGGAAATGGTATTCGAGAAAACTATAGACATGAACTTTTATGACAGTAGAATTACATATAAACACCTTAATGTTTATATGTAGGTATAACTGTTTTAATTCACGCTCTGATTAGCTGTTGACTGTCAGATGACCTTAATCAGACCAATCAGCTTGCAGTGTTTTTTCAGCTCAGTGGTTGTGCCGATCCACAAAGTTCTATATTTACAGAATGAATAGACCATTTCCCCCCCTATATTACAATGAATATTAAAAATCCTAAATTAAATAAAAATAATTGAGGAATAATAAAAATTTTGAAATAAATTTATTTTTAAAAATCTCTCTCTCTCTCTCTCATGGAAAGTATGACAGAAATAAAATCATTAAAAAAAATGTTATTGAAAAAAGAAAAAGAACTTAAAAAAAAACTAACCCACTGTCTTATATTTAATATAGAACTTTGTGGATCGGTGCAACCACTGAGCTGATAAAACACTGCACGCTGATTGGTCTGATTAAGATTATGTGACAGTAAACAGCTAAGCAAAGCGTGGATATCAACATTGGGGGCGTTTAAATGTAATTCTACTGTCTTAAAAGCTTATCTCCATAGTTTTCTTGAATACCATTTCTAAGATTCCACCTTTCAGTTTAGCATATATAAGCAGAATCGTCCAATATATTAGAGCTCTAAAAAGCGGTCTGGTAGATTAAATTGGTGAAACTGCTGGAAGGGTTCACCAGTGATGAGCCAAGCCTTCCCAATATTTTTTTCATCGCAGTAAGGACAGTAGAAGTTTGTTTTATGTATAGAATAAACATTCGTTCTTTAATATTTTCAATTCTTAAACACAGATGGCGCGTTATTGCTTTATAATAGAATATATTTATAATAGTGTCTCAGTATTTTACAAATTGTTTCAGCATATCATGGCATTTATTTTTTACGTAAAAGATACTTACGCTTGGTAGAACATGAGTCTTGTTTATATTATCTACATCAAAATCTTTCATTATATATATTTAATTAAAAATGCATATATTGGATTAAAATATCATTTATTTTACCAATATTTCAGTTGGCTGAACGCCAACCTTTATCAAGGTATTATAACATATTAATGTGTGTCAACAACAAACTCAGCGCCACATAACGTCAATAGAATTAAGTTTTAAAATATATCTTTTTAATTTGAAGAATTGAATAATACCAAAATATAATAATAACAATTTTGACACGTATCTGTTAGTCTGAAACAAATATCTAAACATCATAGTAGCATTGGTTCGCGTCTCTATCATACCTTTTTTTTTTAATTTTTAAATTGCCCATTTTTCAAATATTTATCTGTAAACGTGAAGAACATGTGAATATTAACCATTGTAAATATTTTAACAAAGTATTTATTATTTTATTAGCAGAGTATTATTTTTTATGTTTATATTTTGCTCTACTCTGTACACTTCCCTCTTTTGCTTATCTTTTTTTTATCACTCATAGTTTGTTCTTGTCTGAAATAAATTGTTGTCTCATCCCGAAGTTGGACTTCCCTAATTTTCCACGTGGCAATATCATAAGCTAGGGGTTGTGTACTTTATTTGTGGGTCGTAAATAAACTTATTTTTGAAGTGGAACAAATATTTATCAGAATTTCACTCTAAAATATATACATGACTCGTTTATTCAAGTAAAATAGTTATAGCCCTCTGGCAGATTAAACTGGCGAAACTGCTGGAAAGGTTATATATTGATATTTTTGAAAATAGAGCAATCCATAGATAAATATTTAATTAAAAAGGCATATATTAGATCAAAATATAATTGATTTATTTTACCAATATTTCAGTTGGCTGAACGCCAACCTTTATCAAGGTGTTATAACATTTTAAAGTGTGTTAACAACAAACTCAGCGCCACATAACGTCAACCTTGATAAAGGTTGGCATTCAGCCAACTGAAATATTGGTAAAATAAATTATATTTTGATCCAATATATGCCTTTTTAATTAAAAATATATTGATATATAAACCCGTTTTTCACAAATATTTTATTCTTGCATTGGATATATGGTACGAAAATACTAATACAAAAGGTGCTCTAAAAATTATGAGATATTACGTTTCAGATACGTTTATATACGTATCTAACACGAAGGAGTATTTGATACGTTAAATAGGTCAGTCATCAATTATTTAAGTGAAGTTGTTATTTTGTAAATATACGGAGAGATGTCTACGCGAAATGTGGAATTCCAAAAATTGGTTTCTCCATCACAACAAAACTCGGTCACACACTGCTACATCTGTGCTGAATTTATTATCCAAGAACGGCATCTCAATACTTCACCAGCCTGCTTATTCTCCAGACTTAGCTCCCAATGACCTTTTCATATTCCCAAAAATCAAAATGGCTTTGAAAGGGAGGGCTTTGACACTAGAGAAACCATCATTGCAGAATTGAAAAAGGTATTGAAGAGCATCCCGAAAGACAACTTTTGTAAATGTTTTGAAGCATGGGATGGAAGCTGTGTATACATACGGAAGGGGAGTATTTTGAAAAATACTAATATATATATATTTTTTTTTCAATCTCACAGTTTTTCTTATTTTGCTTTTTTTCGGGAAATTATATTTGACAGGTTTTGTATTATTCTATAGAACATTCTCAACACGAAAAAATCTAAAAACCAATTTGAATATAATCATAATACCAATCTAAATATACGTATTTAAAGTTGCATATAAAATATGCCTAACCTTAAAAAAATAGATAAAAAACTTATTTACATATATTTTACATCTACTCTCTAACAAAACATTATTTAAGATATTTCCAAAAGAAATATATTAATAATTAAAATATAATTTCGATAAACTTTTATAAAAAATAGAGAGGTTTTCTATATAATTACAAATATATTTTTAAAAATCTGAATGTGGGGTGTAAATAATTAAATATTAAATTTTATACAAAATATTGTTTAGACACAACACCAAATTAAAATTAATTGCTCCATAAATTAACAAACCCTTTTTAAAAACCTTTTTACCCGAAAACTTTAGCGATAAATTACATGTACTCCCGCAGATAATGAACAAGAATTTTCCAGAATGTTGGAAAAATAATTATTCGGAGAATTCGATGTTGTCTCAGATAATTTGGAAGCTAAAATAAAATTCTCGTTTGGTGGCTTTAGTCTATCCAGGTTTGTGAACAATATTTATAGAATTCTCGAATGAACAAGCGAATTTTTTCTAGAATGTGTTAGAAGGAGAAAAAAGTAATTATTCTATGAATTCGATGGTGCCAGATAATTTAAAATATAAAAATGAAATCAACGTTTGAACGCTTCATTTATTTTTATCGTAAATAATTTGTAAATTTGGATTAACAAGAATCTTTAAGAATGTGCTAAAAGAATAAATACATCGCAGACATATATTCTGTGAATTCGATGTTGCCAGATAATTTAAAATATAAAAATGAAATCAACGTTTGAACGTTTTATTTATTCTTATCGTAAATAATTTGTAAATTTGAATTAACAAGAATCTTTAAGAATGTGTTAAAAGAATAAATATATATATTCTGTGAATCGATGTTGCCAGATAGTTTGGAATATCAAATTAAAATCCACGTTTGAATGCTTTATTGTAAATAATTTGTAAAATAGTCGAAAGAAAAAGAATCTTAAAGAATGTTTTAGAAACAAATTAAATACACAATATATATATTCTGTGAATTTGATATATGTGTGTCTGCAGAGAGATAATAGAAAACAAATATATTTCACGTTTGGAGATTTTATTTCCTTTAGTCGTGAATAAAATTAGTGAAAATCGAATAAACTAGAATATTCTAGAATATGTTAGAAGTAGTATTAAATATTTAATCTGTGAATTCGAGGTTGCCAGATAATATAAAATAAAATAATAATCACATAAAAATATCTTGTTGTGTAAATTAAAAGTAGTAAAAGTTATATTTAAAAATATTCTATAATTTTATTTAATTGATATATATTCAAAATATATATTTTTAGATTTTTCATAAATATATTTGCTCTCTCAACAAAAATGGTATTTGAGAAAATTTCAATAAAATATATAATAATATTGAAAAATAGGTATTAAAATAAATCTTGCATATAACTACACAATTTTTTAATACACTCCAATGATTAAACAATATATTTCCCCAATCTAATATGGTTAAAATATATCCAGACGAATATTTTATATTTCAGACAGAAAAAAGAAGAAACAAAAAATTCCATCTGGCCGGCAAGTGACAAATGGGATAAAGGGACATTTTTCTTTGTTAGGGAACATGGTGGATTGCAGCCTTTTTAAACAGGAGATCTCTACTTCTATCTTTATACCACCAGCAATATACATTTATATGCCATATATATAAATCCTATTTTCGCTATTTAAACATAATCATGTTCTGTAAAACGACATTTGAAAATTATCCCGCATGTGTTTCTTTTCAACGAAAAATCAAAATTTATTTTAAGGAGAAATAACTATTATTTCTAACCTTAGGGATGAGGTATGAAAAGATGAATTGTGAAGCGTAATGATAAACGGAAAAATAAAAGTGTCCAGGGATGGGAAACGAACCCACAGTGTTCAGCTTACCGGGCAGCTGCTTGCCATGTCCACTAGGCTACTCTGGACATATTTTTACGTTCGTAAATAATACATAATGTTTAATCGTTATCGTTTAAACATAATCGTTATTTCTCCTTAAAATAAATTTTGATATTTCGTTGAAAAGAAACACATGCGGGATAATTTTCAAATGTCGTTTTACAATCACAAGCCGCATTATATTGTATTATAATCACGTTCTATTATTGATATCGAAGAAATTAAAGAGCGCTCTGGGTAACAGTGATTTCAGCCAGGACTTCCACACGACATTTTTACTGTCCGTTACTGGAAGAAGAGAGAGTAATTCTCCGCCAAAAGATTGTTTATGAAGACAGTTCGTCATATATTTTATTGACAAAAGTAGTGAAAAATAAGACCAATACATTGTGGGTTTTCACAAATTCTGTGAGAACAGCACAGACAATAGACGTAACACAGAAGAAGTAACCAACTTGAGGAAAGATTGATGTTGTCCTCCACTTTCTGTGGATAAATGTTTACTTCTGTATCTAAGAGAATCCTGTATGGGATGAGTGTCCTTAATAAAGGTTTTTTGTTGTATATATGATATAACTATTACGTTAGGATGTACCAAAAGTGGCACCTATCCTTTGAAATATGATTAAAACAATGGATATATGAAAACAATGAATTATTGCCCTAAAATTAAACAATGAATTTGGTTTATAACGTTACAGTACAAAACCTCAATGGTGTTTTGGCTTATTCTTTATCATCACCATTCAGTTTTGTAGTGGAGTGATAAACCAAATGCATTATTATAATGCATTTTTAAAGGGAGAGGTGCCCCTATATTAGTTATAATTTTATATGTGATGCATATGCGCGACATCTGTTTTAAGGAAATGAAACTATTTTTACGCGTAGGATTCTTTTAACAAATAAATGCAGAAATATCACGTAGAATATAAAATAAATAATATTTATAATCTTTATTAAAGTTATTTTCGACCAATATATATTTCTATAAACAATATGTATGCAACTAAGTTAATTGCATACCCGATATAGAAATAACATTTTGACACATTGATGGACTATCATACTATATACAAACAACAAAAATCACATAAAACTTGCATATTCAGATATTTAAAAATAATATATCGTATTAAAAATACATATTTCCATTCGCAAATATTCATAACTTTTATAAACACAAGAATTCCACCTTACTAGAGATTCTTCAATAATATTTACATATTTAAATAAAAATGAAGAAGCATTCTTTGAAGGCTAGGAGGTTTCTTCGATTGATTCTGACATGTCAATGTGAAATTTCACTCAGAAAGAAGATATTGAAGCAGAAAATATGGGCGTACGTTGACAATATTTCAGCACAGAGATTTGTTTTTTTACCCCAGAGTTCTGCATGCACGACTAACAACCCCCCCGGTGGCCCCCAATAATTGTGTTATTCTGCCCCCTTACTTGTACGCCCCCCGTCGTCTTTATTTACTCCCTCCACTTCAATCTCCCCCAGGCAAAATTACTCATTCACCTATTTCTTATAGCCAATCTTTTTCTAATAATTATTTATTCATTTTATCTTTTTTATTCACCTAAGGGAATTAAATATTTCTATATATATGAATCATTCTCTGACAATATACATTTTTATAAATATTTTTAAAATTTTATTGCAGAGTATTATGTTCTCTTTACCTTTAATGTACTCTTTACCCTCTCTTTAATGAAAATAAACTTTCGACCAATATATCTTTCTATAAACAATATATATGCAACTAAGTTAATTGCATAACCGATCTTGTCCGCCCCCCGTCTCTTTATTTACTCCCTCCACTTCAATCTACCCCAGGCAAAATTATTCATTCACCTCTTTCTTATAACCAATCTTTTTCTAATAATTATTTATTCATTTTATATTTTTTTTCACCTTAGGGAATTAAATATTTATATATTTACTTTCTATACTGTGTATATGAATACCATTCTCTGACAATATATATTTTTACAAATCCTTTAAAAATTTTTGGTTGCATATAATTGTTCTTTACCTTAGTTGTTTTTTTTTTCCGACAAGTATATGACGCCCTGAAAGCCGAAATTGACTCCATTGTTAATTAACTTTTGCTATAATACAATTAGAAGATTTATTTCTCTTAGAAAAAGTTTCACCTTAGAAATACACTGTTTTATATTTCATATACATAATAATTTATGAAATTTTATTTAAATAAATATTATTTTAGATTATTGTACAATATATTTTACTAGTACACGTGGTGCAGGCCATGATAATCATGGTGGGTAATAGTTGATATATACTCATGTATACTACACATATCTACTAATAACGTTTAGTTTATTTTTACTCCACTAGATGGCGCTCTGCCATCTAAAAAGCACATGTGCTCGTGGTCAGGAGATGCCTTCTTTATTTTTAATATCTACATATTTAGAAAGCAATTCGACTTTTTAATTTACAATTGTTCCATATCCCCGTTTTATTTACTTGCATTCACCTATGAGGTTGGACTTTTGCAAGAATCGGGAGCCATTGGAGCAATTAATTTCTATTATAAAAAAAAAGTACTTAGGCGGGATTCAATCCCGGGGTTGTGGCTGTTGAATTAATGTGAAGCCATATTTACAGGCGGACAATATGTTAATTAGTTTGGAATATAGAGAGAGAAGTACAATTCGATATAAAACGATTGTGTTTATGTAAATATTATTTTTTAGAACCTTTAATTTGTAAGGGTTGTAATACATTAAACAACACTCAAGGAAAAAACTTAAGGTAGTGGAAAATCTTTGATATCGTCAGTCGTCTATTTTTTTTAAGGAGAGAGAGGTTGTTCACACTTGGTTATCTCGTGTATCTTCAATAAAGATCACTGTAATATCGTTCAGAGTTATTGTCTCAATCCCGATATAGATGCTAAAAGTAAAATATTTATGCTTGAGTGTATTTTTTCCTATATGTAAAATCCTAAACAACTTCAAAAATCTAAAACAAAATGCAAGAGGAGAAAGCACAATAGGTAAGAATATAGGCTTTTTAATAATCCCAACAGGCCATGATAATCATGTAGAGTAGTTAGCGACTTATTTTACTGTAATTACACCACGTATTTACACAGGTAGAAAGCAGCTCGACTTTTGAACTTACAAATGTAAAAGAGCCCCGTTTGGTTACTTTTACTCACTGGTGGGGTTGGACTTTTGCAAAATTGGAAGCCATTGAGAGACAATCTTTTTGTCAGAAAAAAGCGCCCAAGGCGGGATTCGATCCCGGGTGGTAGCTATAGAAAACCGACAGTTTATACCACTCGTTCACCTTCTTCATTAAATATAAACTTGCACACAACTATATATATTGGTTCTGTTTTCAATGAACATTATCCTTACATACACTCATGGACAACACTTAAGGAAGTTATACCTTTCAGCATGTATATCGAGACAATAACTCTGAACGATATTACAGTGACCTTTATTGAAGACACACGATATAATCAAGTGTGAACAACCTCTGTCTTTTTCAAAATATACAAACGAGCGGCGATATCAAAGACTTTCCACTTCCTTAAGGTTTATCCATGAGTATATGTACACTGGTTATTATATAAGTTGACCAACCTAATAAAATGTATTAGAGGGGTCTCTGGTGGAGATTAAACAGACGAAACTACTGGAAGGGTTCCCCACTGATGAGCCAGGCCATCCCAATATTTTTACAATGCAGTAAGGACAGGTGAAAGTTGGTTTAAATGAGAGAGAAAAAAAATGTTGAGGCAAAATAGAGAGAGAGAGGGAGTTTGTATTCATACAGAATCAATATAATTTAAAAATGGTAAATTTGCATATAGAGAAGAGTATGCAAATAGGGTGATCAATCTGGGGTTGAGACGCCACAGTCGGGGTGGACAGTGACAAATGACACAATACCGTTAAATATAATTGCAAAAAAACGACGGTAGAGGGCGTGCCATAACACAAATTGCGTTTTTCCTATTTACGTCCCGCCCAGTGACTCTAATGTGATTGGATCCTGAAGTATGACGTCATCGGACCACTTCAAACTTGTCCAGACATCAAATGCGCCTCTCCAATATACGGATGTGTTTTTCTTTAAAGATTCTGTTTTTTTTTTTTTGTGACACAGAAGACGTTGGTCTCAGCTGACCTCTCTGGTGTTGGAATGTCACATGTAAGATACTCAGTCCCTTAAAGGATTTATATAAAACATAATTAGAATATATAAATGCAGTTAAACCTGTCTATAGTGCCCCCTCTTGGGACTCACCAAAATAGGGTGCTATATACAGGTCATTTTTTATGTAAATCGCATCGTACTACATATTTAAAATCGGGCGCTATAAAGAGGGAGGCGCTATTTAGAGGGGGAGCTATAGACAGGTTATATATATTATAAACATTTCTGTTGTTTTTTGAATATTATTTATAGAATTATCACCTGCTGATTGATATAGAGAATTATTGATCATTTGCTTGATCCCGGAATCCATGAGCATGTGACAGTCGTGGTAAGAAAAATCAGAATTAGCTTTAATTGAGCTTAAGGAATATACATGAACAGAATTTGATAAAATACTGCCTGTTTTGAGGCGAATAGAATAAAAAAAAAGACTTATTTACATATCTACAAAAAAATTGAGCCGGCCAACGGGAAACAACAACGATGGATTTATATATGGAAAGTCGCGACATCTGGTGGTAGATATAAACAGAGAGTAATTTGCTCTAGGATTTATAATTTTAAAATAAAATATAATTTGTATATATATTAATATACAACAACAAATACCAATGAAGAAGTGTTGAATTTGCTTAGATCTTTTTAAAGATACAGATTCCAAGAAGATTAATCAAGCATTATTGATTTACAAGAGAGAGAACAAAATAAAAAATAAACTTATACAAACATAGTAAACAAAGAGAAACTTATTTTCTTACGGTTAGCGCCTATTTACTTGTAATCCTATATACATACTCTGTAGGAAAAATTAATGAAT